GGCTGAAAACAATACCTAGACAGTACAGGTATACAAACAATGCACCTAGACAGTACAGGTATACAAACAATGTACCTAGACAGTGTAGGTATACAAAACAACAAAACCTAGACAGTACAGGTATACAAACAAATACCTAGACAGTACAGGTATACAAACAATGTACCTAGACAGTGTAGGTATACAAACAATGTACCCAGACAGTACAGGTATACAACAATGTACCTAGACAGTACAGGCATACGTACCAATGTACCCAGACAGTACAGGTATACAAACAATGTACCTAGACAGTACAGGTATACAAACAATGGTACCTAGACAGTACAGGTATATACAAACAATGTACCTAGACAGTGTAGGTATACAAACAATGTACCGTGACAGTACAGGTATACAAACAATGTACCTAGACAGTACATAGGTATACAAAACAATGTACCTAGACAGTACACAGGTATACAAACAATGTAATCTAGACAGTACAGGTATACAAACAATGTACCTAGACAGTACAGGTATACAAACAATGTACTCCAGACAGTACAGGTATACAAACAATGTACCTAGACAGTGCAGGTATACAAACAATGTACTCCAGACAGTACAGGTATACAAACAATGTACCTTAGACAGTGCAGGTATACAAACAATGTGCCCTAGACAGTGTAGGTATACAAACAATGTACCTAGACAGTACAGGTATACAAACAATGTACCTAGACAGTACAGGTATACAAACAACGTACCTAGACAGTACAGGTATACAAACAATGCACTCTAGACAGTGCAGGCATACAAACAATGTACCTAGACAGTGCAGGTATACAAACAATGTACCTAGACAGTACAGGTATACAAACAATGTACCTAGACAGTGCAGGTATACGTAAACAATGTACCTAGACAGTGCAGGTATACAAACAATGTACCTAGACAGTGCAGGTATACAAACAATGTACCTAGACAGTACAGGTATACAAACAATGTACCTAGACAGTGCAGGTACAAACAATGTACCTAGACAGTGTAGGTATACAAACAATGTACCTAGACATGTAGGTATACAAACAATGTACCTAGACAGTACAGGTAGACAAACAATGTACCTAGACAGCAGGTATACAAACAATGTACCGACAGTGCAGGTATACAAACAATGCACCTAGACAGTGTATAGGTATACAAACAATGTACCTAGACAGTACAGGTATACAAACAATGTACCTAGACACAGGTATACAAAACAATGCCTAGACAGTGCAGGTATACAAACAATGTACCTAGATACAGTGCAGGTATACAACAATGTACCTAGACAGTGCAGGTATACAAACAATGTACCCAGACAGTGCAGGTATACAAACAATGTACCTAGACAGTGCAGGTATACAAACAATGCACCCAGACAGTGCAGGTATACAAACAATGTACCTAGACAGTGCAGGTATACAAACAATGTACCTAGACAGTGCAGGTATACAAACAATGTACCTAGACAGTACAGGTATACAAACAATGTACCTAGACAGTGCAGGTATAATAAACAATGTACCTAGACAGTGTAGGTATACAAACAATGTACCTAGACAGTACAGGTATACAAACAATGTGTGTACCTTAGACAGTGCAGGTATACAAACAATGTACCTAGACAGTGTAGGTATACAAACAATGTACCTAGACAGTACAGGTATACAAACAATGTACCTAGACAGTGGTATAAAACAATGTAAATTCCAGACAGTGCAGGTATACAAACAATGTACCTAGACACAGTGTAGGTATACAAACAATGTACCTAGACAGTACAGGTATACAAACAATGTACCTAGACAGTGGTATACAAACAATGTACCTAGACAGTACAGGTATACAAACAATGTACCTAGACAGTGCAGGTTTAGCCAAACAATGCACCTAGACAGCAGGTATACAAACAATGCACCTAGACAGTACAAGCATACAAAACAATGTACCTAGACAGTACAGGTATACAAACAATGTACCAGACAGTACAGGTATACAAACAATGTACCTAGACAGTGCAGGTATATACAAACAATGTACCTAGACAGTACAGGTATACAAACAATGTACCTAGACAGTACAGGTATACAAACACTGTACCTAGACAGTGTAGGTATACAAACAATGTACCTAGACAGCACAGGTATACAAACAATGTACCCAGACAGTGCAGGTATACAAACAATGTAACACCCAGACAGTGCAGGTATACAAACAATGCACCCAGACAGTACAGGTATACAAACACTGTACCTAGACAGTGCAGGTATACAAACAATGTACCTAGACAGTACAGGTATACAAACACCGTACCTAGACAGTACAGGTATACAAACAATGTACCTAGACAGTGCAGGTATACAAACACCGTACCCAGACAGCAGGCATACAAACAATGTACCTAGACAGTGCAGGTATACAAACAATGTACCTAGACAGTACAGGTATACAAACACTGTACCTAGACAGTACAGGCATACAAACAATGTACCTAGACAGTGCAGGTATACAAACAAATGTACCTAGACAGTGCAGGTATACAAACAATGTACCTAGACAGTACAGGTATACAAACAATGTACCTAGACAGTGCAGGTATACAAACAATGTACCTAGACAGTGCAGGTATACAAACAATGTACCTAGACAGTACAGGTATACAAACAATGTACCTAGACAGTACAGGTATACAAACAATGTACTAGACAGTGCAGGTATACAAACAATGTACCTAGACAGTGCAGTATACAAACAATGTACCTAGACAGTACAGGTATACAAACAATGTACCTAGACAGTACATATACAAACAATGTACCTAGACAGTACAGGTATACAAACAATGTACCTAGACAGTGCAGGTATACAAACAATGTACCCAGACAGTACAGGTATACAAACAATGTACCTAGACAGTACAGGTATACAAACAATGTACCTAGACAGTACAGGTATAAACAATGCACCTAGACAGTACACAGGTATACAAACAATGTAATTCCACAGTACAGGTATACAAACAATGTACCTAGACAGTGTAGGTATACAAACAATGCACCCAGACAGTACAGGTATACAAACAATGTACCTAGACAGTGTAGGTATACAAACAATGTACCTAGACAGTACAGGTATACAAACAATGCACCTAGACAGTACAGGTATACAAACAATGTACCTAGACAGTACAGGTATACAAACAATGTACCCAGACATACAGGCATAGCAAACAATGTACCTAGACAGTGTAGGTATACAAACAATGTACCTAGACAGTACAGGTATACAAACAATGCACCTAGACAGTACAGGTATACAAACAATGTACCTAGACAGTACAGGTATACAAACAACGGTAAACAGCAATAATAGTAGGCTGGCCTGCGTCGCCTCTGTTATCAGTATTTACAGTGTACCCTACGACCCATAGTAACAAATTTAACACCATTAACTGAGAGACGGAAGAGACAATATCCAGTTTAACGACAGAGAGACACTTTCAGTTAAGCGAGAGAGACAATTGAAGAGACAGAAGCATATTGTAATGATGGCACAGTAGTGAAATTAACTGATGTGTGAGGAGGAGTGAGAGAGACGACGAGAGGAGAGAGATGAGGAGAGAGGAGAGAGATGAGAGAGAGTGAGAGAGAGAGAGGAGGAGAGAGATGAGGAGAGGAGTGAGAGAGATGAGAGGAGGGAGAGAGATGCGAGGAGAGGAGGAGAGGAGATGAGAGAGGAGGAGAGAGGCGAGGAGAGAGGAGAGAGATGAGGAGGAGAGAGAGATGAGGAGAGGAGTGAGAGAGATGAGGAGGTGAGGAGAGAGATGGAGGAGAGGGAGAGATGAGGAGAGGAGGAGAGAGAGATGAGGAGAGGAGGGAGAGAGATGAGGAGAGGAGGAGAGAGATGAGGAGAGGAGGAGAGGAGATGAGGAGAGGAGGAGAGAGAGATGAGGAGAGGAGAGAGAGATGAGGAGAGAGTGAGAGAGATGAGAGAGGAGTGAGAGAGATGAGGAGAGGAGTGGAGAGAGATGAGGAGAGGAGGAGAGAGATGAGGAGAGAGGAGAGAGATGAGGAGAGAGTGAGAGAGATGAGGGAGAGGAGGAGAGAGATGAGGAGAGAGTGGAGATGAGGAGAGGAGAGAGATGAGAGAGGGAGTGAGAGAGATGAGGAGAGAGGAGGAGAGAGATGAGGAGAGGAGGAGAGAGATGAGGAGAGGAGAGATGAGGAGAGAGGAGAGAGATGAGGAGAGGAGAGAGAGATGAGGAGAGGAGGAGATGAGGAGAGGAGGAGAGAGATGAGGAGAGGAGGAGAGAGAGAGGAGGAGAGAGATGAGGGGAGGAGTGAGAGAGGTGAGGAGAGGAGGGAGAGAGATGAGGAGAGGGGAGGAGAGAGATGGAGGAGAGGAGTGAGAGAGATGAAAGAGAGGAGTGAGAGGATGAGGAGAGAGGAGAGAGATGAGGAGGTGAGGAGAGAGATGAGGAGAGGAGGGAGAGAGATGAGAGGAGAGAGAGAAAGATGAAGAGAGGAGTGAGAGAGCGAGGAGGAGTGGAGAGAGATGAGGAGAGGAATGAGAGATGAGGAGAGGGGAGGAGAGATGAGAGGTGAGAGGAGATGAGGAGAGAGTGGAGAGACAGAGGAGGAGAGAGATGAGAGAGGGGAGAGAGAGAAGAGAGGAGGGAGAGAGATGAGGAGAGGGAGAGAGAGGAGGAGAGAGGAGGAGAGAGATGAGGAGAGGAGAGAGAGATGAGGAGAAGAAGAGAGAGAGATGAGGAGAGGAGGAGAGAGATGAGGAGAGGGGAGGGAGAGAGATGAGGAGAGGAATGAGAGAGATGAGAGGAGTGAGAGAGATGAGGAGAGGAGAGAGATGAGAGAGTGAGAGAGGATGAGGTGAGGAGGAGAGAGATGAGAGGAGGAGAGAGAAAGATGAGGAGAGGAGGAGAGATGAGAGAGGAGTGAGAGATGAGGGAGGAGAGAGAGAGAGGAGAGGAGAGAGATGAAGAGAGGAGGAGAGATGAGGAAAGGAGTGAGAGAGATGAGAGGAGGAGAGAGAAAGATGAGGAGAGGAGGGAGAGATGAGGAGAGGGAGGAGAGGAGATGAGGAAAGAGTGAGAGAGGAGAAGGAGGAGAGGAGGAGAGAGATGAGGAAAGGAGGAGAGAGATGAGAAAGGAGAGTGGAGGAGAGAGGAGAGGAGAGATGAGGAAAGGGGAGGGAGAGGAGATGGAGGAGGAGAGAGAAAGATGAAGAGAGAGGAGGGAGAGGAGATGAGGAGAGGAATGAGAGAGAGGAGAGGAGTGAGGAGAAAGAGAAGAGAGGGAGGAGAGATGAGGAGAGGAGGAGAGAGATGAGGAGGAGAGATGAGGAGAGGAGAGAGATGAGGAGAGAGAGAGAGACGACGAGAGAGGAAAGAGATGAGGAGGAGAGAGATGAGAGAGGAGAGAGATGAGGAGAAGAAGTGAGGAGAGATGAGGAGAGGAGGGAGAGAGATGAGAGAGGGAGGAGAGAGATGGAGAGGAGAGATGAGAGGAGAGAGGAGGAGAGAAGTGAGAGACGAGGAGAGAAGCAGGCACAGCAGGAAGGTGGGAGGTAGGGTCCGTTAGTAAGGTGGTGGTGAGGGAGGAGGAGGAGGAGGAGGAGGAGGAGGAGGAGGAGGAGGAGGAGGAGGAGGTTACGAAGTCCCTCAGCTGTTGTTGATGTTTTCCCAGTGTGTGTGTGTGTGTGTGTGTGTGTGTGTCTGACCGTGGTTCTGCTGTGTCACGTCCACACCCGCTGGCCACACACAACACACACACACACACACAACGTAGTGGGCATTTGCTTGGTCATTCCCTGCCACCACCAACTAATCTGTATAGCAGGTGTATATATGTGTGTGTGTGTGTGTGAACCCGTCCTGCCTGCCCCGCCTGCCTGCCCTGCCTCCCCACCCCACCTGCCCCTGCCCCGCCCCCCCGCCCCTGCCCTGCCCCTGCTCCGCCCTGCTCCACCCCCCAGCCACCACACCACTCACCTCTGGACGCTGCTTGCCTTCACCCGCAGTATCAAGCGTCACCCAGACACTTGAACTGGACTCCCCAGACACCTCCTTCAGCTCCCCAGACACCTCTCCTCCAGCCCCCAGACACCTCCTCCAGCTCCCCAGACACCTCCAGCTCTGAGACACCTCCTTCAGCTCCCAGACACCTCCAGCCCCAGACACCTCCTCAGCTCCCAAACACTCCTCCTCCAGCTCCCCCAGACACCTCCTTCAGCTCCCAGACCTCCTTCAGCCCCCAGACACCCTTCAGCTCCCCCAAACACCTCCTCCAGCTCCAGACACCTCCCTTCTTCAGCTCTCCCCAGACACCTCCTTCAGCTCCCCAGACACCTCCTTCAGCCCCCCAGACACCTCCTCAGCTCCCCAAACACCTCTTCAGCCCCCAGACACCTCCTCAGCTCCCCAGACACCTCCTCAGCTCCCCAGACACTCCTTCAGCTCCCCCAGACCCTCCTTCAGCTCCCAGACACTCCTCCAGCCCCCCAGACACCTCCTCCAGCTCCCAGACACCTCCTTCAGCTCCCCAACATCCTCCTCTAAGCTCCCCCAAACACCTCCTCCAGCTCCCAGACACCTCCTTCAGCCCCCAGACACCTCCATCAGCTCCCCAGACACCTCTTCAGCTCCCCAGACACCTCCTTCAGCTCCCCAGACACCTCCTCCAGCTCCCCAGACACCTCCTTCAGCTTCCCCAGACCTCCTCCAGCTCCCCAAACACTCCTCCAGCTCCCCAGACACCTCCTTCAGCCCCCAGACACTCTGTCATGAAACACGGGGAGGGAATAACATGATGATCAAGGAAGAAAACACAGGAATAAAGAGACCAGGAAGGAAACAACGGAAGAAGAGACATGAAGAGAACACAGAGAGAGAGAAGAGAAAGATCAAGTGAACGGAGGAAGAGACATGAAGAGAACAGAGAGAGAGAAGAGAAAGACAGTGAACGGAGGAAGAGACATGAAGAGAACAGAGAGAGAGAAGAGAAAGACGTGAACGGAGGAAGAGACATGAAGAGAACACAGAGAGAGAAGAGAAAGATCAAGTGAACGGAGGAAGAGACATGAAGAGAACACAGAGAGAGAGAAGAGAAAGATCAAGTGAACGGAGGAAGAGACATGAAGAGAACACAAAGAGATAAGGGAAAGATCAAGTGAACGGAGGAAGAGACATGAAGAGAACACAAAGAGAGAGAAGAGAAAGATCAAGTGAACGGAGGAAGAGACATGAAGAGAACACAGAGAGAGAAGAGAAGATCAAGTGAACGGAGGAAGAGACATGAAGAGAACACAAAGAGATAAGGAAAGACTACGGAACGGAGGAAGAGACATGAAGAGAACACAAAGAGAGAGAAGAGAAAGATCAAGTGAACGGAGGAAGAGACATGAAGAGAAACACAGAGAGAGAAGAGAAAGATCAAGGAACGGAGGAAGAGACATGAAGAGAACACAGAGAGAGAAGAGAAAGATCAAGGAACGGAGGAAGAGACATGAAGAGAACACAGAGAGAGAAGAGAAAGATCAAGTGAACGGAGGAAGAGACATGAAGAGAACACAAAGAGAGAGAAGAGAAAGATCAAGTGAACGGAGGAAGAGACATGAAGAGAACACAGAGAGATAAGAGAAAGATCAAGGAACGGAGGAGAGACATGAAGAGAACAGAGACATAAGGAAAGACAGGAACGGAGGAAGAGACAGAAGAGAACACAGAGAGAGAGAAGAGAAAGATCAAGAACGGAGGAAGAGACATGAAGAGAACACAGAGAGAAAAGAGAAAGATCATGAACGGAGGAAGAGACATGAAGAGAACACATAGAGAGAAGAGAAAGACAGAACGAGGAAGAGAGAAAGAAAGAAAGAAAGATCAAGTGAACGGAGGAAGAGACAAGAACGAGGAAGAGACATGAAGAGAACACAGAGAGAAGAAGAGAAAGATCAAGGAACGGAGGAAGAGACATGAAGAGAACACAGAGAGAGAAAGAGAAAGATCAAGTGAACGGAGGAAGAGACATGAAGAGAACACAGAGAGAGAAGAGAAAGATCAAGTGAACGGAGGAAGAGACATGAAGAGAACACAAGAGAAAGGAGACAAGAACGGAGGAAGAACATAAGAGAACAAGAGAGAGAAGAGAAAGATCAAGGAACGGAGGAAGAGACATGAAGAGAACACAGAGAGAGAAGGGAAAGATCAAGAACGAGGAAGAGACAGAAGAGAACAAAGAGAGAGAAGAGAAAGACAGTGAACGGAGGAAGAGACATGAAGAGAACACAGAGAGAGAAGAGAAAGATCAAGTGAACGGAGGAAGAGACATGAAGAGAACACAAGAGAAAAAGATCAAACGGAGGAAGAGACATGAAGAGAACACAGAGAGAGAAGAGAAAGATCAAGTGAACGTAGACGGAGGAGTTCTCTTAAAGGTCACCTCCACTTTGGCCTATGTCTCCTCACTCAGGTGACGCCCACGACCAGCTCCTCTCTCAGGACGCCCACGACCAGCCTCAGGTGACGCCCACGACCAGCTCCTCCCTCAGGCTGACGCCCACGACCAGCTCTCAGGTGACGCCCACGACCAGCCTCCCTCAGGTGACGCCCACGACCAGCTCCCTCAGGTGACGCCCACGACCAGCTCCCTCCTCAGGTGACGCCCACGACCAGCCTTCTCTCAGGTGACGCCCACGATCAGCTCCCTCTCAGATGACGCCCACGACCAGCCTCTCAGATGACGCCCACGACCAGCTCCTCCTCAGGCCCCACGACCCCTCTAACTCTCAGGTGACGCCCACGACCCCTCTCCCTCAGGTGACGCCCACGACCAGCCTCTCAGGTGACGCCCACGACCAGCTCTCCTCAGGTAACACCCACTACCCCTTCTCCTCCAGCTGACGCCTCACGACCAGCACCTCCCTCCAGGTAACACCCACTACCTCTCCCTCAGGTAACAACACCCACCAGGTATCCCCTACCTAAGGATTCAACCACCTCTGAGTACCATTAACCTGCCATGGAAGCCTTCAACACCTACGTTATTGTTCCTAAATTCAGAAGGTAAAGGTGAGGATCATCCTTGTTGTGGCAGGCGAGGAGGATGGACAGCCCTTACCTCAAGGTCTCACACAACATTAAACGACCAATTTGCAAACGACCTAATTGACATTCGAGGACACTTAGCAATGTCACTCAAACAAGGATGAGCGCGAGACCATACCAGGCAAGGATGAGCAGGGGAGGTGAGGATGGAGGGTGGGGAGGTGAGGATGGAGGGTGGGGAGGATGGAGGTGGGGAGATGAGATGGAGGGAGGGGAGGTGAGGATGGAGGGTGGGAGGTGAGGATGGAGGGTGGGGAGGATGGAGGGTGGGGGAGGTGAGGATGGAAGGTGGGGAGGTGAGGATGGAGGAGGGAGGTGAGGATGGAGGGAGGGAGGAGGATGGAGGGGTGGGGAGGTGAGGAAGGAGGTGGGGAGGTGAGGATGGAGGGAGGGGGGAGGTGGGGATGGAGGGTGGGGGAGGATGGAGGGTGGGGAGATGAGGATGGAGGGAGGGGAAGGTGGAGGATGGAGGAGGGGAGGGAGGATGGAGGGTGGGGAGGATGGAGGAAGGGGAGGTGAGGGGATGGAGGGAGGGGAGGTGGGAGGATGGGAGGGTGGGGAGGAGGATGGAGGGAGGGGAGGGGAGGATGGAGGGGAGGTGAGGGAGGTGAGGATGGAGGGGGAGGTGAGGGGAGGGGGAGGTAGGATGGAGGGGGGAGGTGAGGATGGAGGGTGGGGAGGAGAAGGGAGGATGGAGGGTGGGAGATGAGGATGGAGGGTGGGGAGGGGAGAGGATGGAGGGTGGGGAAGGTGAGGATGGAGGGGGGGAGGTGGAGGAGGAGGGTGGGGAGGGAGGGATGGGGGGTGGGGAGGTGAGGATGGAGGTGGGGAGGAGGATGGAGGAGGGGAGGGAGGATGGAGGGTGGGGAGGTGGAGGATGGAGGGGTGGGGAGGTGAGGATGGAGGGGTGGGGAGGATGGAGGTGGGGAGATGAGGATGGAGGGAGGGGAGGTGGAGGGATGGAGGGGGTGGAGGAGGAGGGAGGGGAGGTGAGGATGGAGGGGTGGGAGGTGAGGATGGAGGGAGGGGAGGTGGGGATGGAGGGTGGGAGGTGAGGAGGAGGGTGGGGAGGAGGATGAGGGTGGGAGGTGAGGGATGAGGGTGGGGGGGGGAGGGATGGAGGGTGGGGAGGGAGGATGGAGGGTGGGGAGGTGAGGATGGAGGTGGGAGGGGAGATGGAGGGTGGGGAGGGAGGATGGAGGGTGGGGAGGATGGAGGGTGGGGAGGGAGAGGTGGGAGGTGAGGATGAGGGGAGGGGAGGGAGGATGGGGGAGGGGAGGATGGAGGGGGGAGGGAGGATGGAGGGTGGGGAGGATGGAAGGTGGGGGAGGTGAGGATGGAGGTGGGGAGGATGGAGGGTGGGGAGGTGAGGATGGAGGGGGGGAGGTGAGGATGAGGTGGGGAGAGGTGGGGAGGAGGAGGAGGTGGGAGGATGGAGGGTGGGAGGTGAGGATGGAGGGTGGGGAGGTGGAGGATGGGAGGGGGTGGTGGGAGGTGAGGATGGAGGGTGGGGAGGATGGAGGTGGGGAGGTGAGATGGAGGGTGGGGAGGTGGAGGATGGAGGGTGGGGATGGGATGGAGGGTGGGGAGGATGGAAGGTGGGGAGGTGAGGATGGAGGTTGGGGAGGATGGAGGGGGGTGGGGAGGTGAGGATGGAGGGTGGGGAGGATGGAAGGTGGGGAGGATGGGGGGGGGGGAGGAGATGGAGGTGGGGAGGTGAGGATGGAGGGTGGGGAGGTGAGGATGAGGTGGGAGGTGAGGATGGGGTGGGAGAGGATGGGAGGGGAGGTGAGGGAAGGGAGGTGAGGATGAAGGTGGAGGTGAGGATGGAAGGTGGGGGAGCAGGAGGAGGTTAATGTTGTTTTACCTGGTCACCTCGGCTGGTCCACACCTCCTCCGTCCACACACTCTCTCCCTCCACACACCCTTCCTTCCCTCCACACACTTTCCTTCCCTCCACACACCCTTCCTTCCCTCCACACACCCTTTCTCTCCTCCACATACCCTTCTGTTCCCTCCACACACCCTCCTTCCTCCACACACCCTTCCTTCCTTCCACACCCTTCCTTCCACCCACACACCCTTTCTCCACACACCCTCCTTTCCCTCCACACACCCCTTTCCTCCCCTTCCACACACCCTCCCTTCCCTCCACACACCCCTTCCTTCCCTCCACACACCCCTTCCTCCACTCCACACCCCTTTCTTCCTCCACACACCCGTTCTCTCTCCACACACACCCTTCCCTTCCCTCCACACACCCTTTCTCCTTCCTCCACACACCCTTCGTTCCTCCACACACCCCTTCCCTCTCCACACACCCCTCCCCTCCCTCCACACACACCCCCTTACTCCCCTACACACATTTCTTTCCCTCCACACACCTCCCTCTCCACACACCCTCCCTTCCCTCCCACACACCCTCCCCCCCCCTCCACACACCCTCCCTCCCCTCCACACAACCCCTTCCTTCCCTCCACACACCATCCTTCCACACACCCCTTCCTTCCTTCCACACACCCTTCCCTCCCACACACCCTCCCTTCCTCCACACACCCCTTACTCTCTCCACACACTTTTCTCCCTCCACACACCCTCCCTCCCTCCACACACCTTCCTCTCCCCTCCACACACCCTCTCCTTCCCTCCACACACACCCCTCCCTTCCCTCCACACCCACCCTCCCCTTTCTCCACACTCCCTTCCCCTTTCCTCCACACACCCTCCCTTCCTCCACACATCCCTTCCTCCTCACACACCCCTTCTTTCCCTCCACACCCTCCTTCCCTCCACACACACCTTCCTTCCCTCCACACACCCTCCTTTCTCCACTCCTTCTTCTCCACACACCCTCTCTTCCTCCACACACCTTTTCCTTCCCTCCACACACCTCTTCCTCCATTCCTTCTTCCTCCACACACCCATCCTTCCCTCCACACACCATCCTTCCCTCCACATATCCCTTCCTTCACTCCACATACCCTCCTTTCCCTCCACACACCCTTCCTTCCCCTCCACACACACCATCCACACAGATGCCCGCATAGGTACACATATGCCCGCACAGGTACACATATGCCCACACAGGCACACATATGCTCACACAGGTACACACATATGCCCGCACAGGTACACATATGCCCGCACAGGTACACATATGCCCGCACAGGCACACATATGCCCGCACAGGTACACATTTGCCCGCACAGGGTACACATATGCCCACAGGCACACATATGCCCGCACAGGTACACATATGCCCACACAGGTACACATATGCCCGCACAGGTACACACATATGCCCGCACAGGTACACATATGCCCGCAGAATTCCCTGTATTCTACATGGTCTTGGTACCTAACTATAGTTATGAATTAGTATGTATATGAAACCCACTTAATACGAGCCAGTTATTAGTGATGATTAAATAAAAATAAATTAACCCTGATATTTGTACCTGGTAAGAATTTAACCTCTCTCTCCAAGCGTCCATCTTAGTGAGAGGTTTAAAGTCACCTCCACTCTCCCTACCCTTTAATAAATAACCGATTCATCTCCTCCTCTCCCCTTACCACTCTCCCTCCTCTCCCCTGACCTATCTCCCTCCTCTCCCCTTGACCTATCGCCCTCCTCTCCCTGACCATCCTTGCCTCTTCCCCCTGATCATTCTTCCACGTCTTTTAACCCCTCTCTCACTCCCTCTCACTTCCTGTCCCTGGCGGCTGAG